TCATGGTATTGCAGGTGCTTAGTGTCCTTATCCACTACATCTTTCCAGTTTAATTGCTTTCTTTGTTTCTCAGCAAAAGTGCCTCCTATGAAAATTAATGAGGTTCCTGTAACTTTCCCTAAATAAAAATTACAAAAAACAGGTTTCAAGTGTGATAAAACATGGTTCTCGTGGCTGACCAGGGTAAATAAAACAAAAAGACAGTAACTCCGAAAAGAGACAGAGACATTTTGAGATTCAACGTTTCGATCTATTTGATCATTTTCAAAAATACTGATGAGAAAATCTCACCCATCCATATATGTTTACAATATTTACAGAAGTATAACAGAAAGCAAAAAAAAACTGACCAATCTGATTAAAATCAAAGTTATAACTAGCCAATTAAAAACGAGGTAATAAGAAATGAGGTGTGTCTTATATTAAGTACCGTATATTACATATTAACGAGGGTAACAATTCCGTTTTTGCGGGTGAATGTCCGGATGGTCATCTAAATAAATCAGCTCTTTGTGACGATGTAAATTGCATGTGTGTAGCCCTATTTTGTAGATCATCTAATAGGATATAGCGTATAGAAGGCAACAGCGTATATATACAATACCACGTATGTCGTAATTTAACTCGGTGGGCCGTGCCAGTGGGGTCAGGGAAAACCCCTTCTCATCGGAAATGGCCCGGCCCAAGTCGTCCGACGCGAAGAGACAGAGGGACTAAAATGATTTATTTGCCAACGATCCAAACAAAGTCGGTCATTGTAATTGCATATCTCTATATACATTTAATATTACTATTGGGCCTACATATTATCATTATTAGGCCTATATATTATTAACATTATTATCTTTAATGTCGTCTCGCATCCGGAATTTCGTACCTCGTTATGCCCCGCGATGTGTGCGGGAAGCTATAATTATTAATATTGTACTTTTTTTATTACATAGTTATCATTACAATTGTCCTTATCATTATTATATAATAGGCAAATAATCTTCACATTATCATTATCTCAATCGTCGTTTCACAGTTAACATCTCATTGCATGAGTACACTCACCAGTTACCCCTTTTTTGACAAATGACTAATAAAAATAACAACACCATCAATTCGAAGCGATTACAATACTTTAAATGTTTTTATGCATTTACCATTGTTTTCTTCTGTTTATAATACAGTCTGTTTACTCAAATCAGTAATAAGAAAATGCCCTTTAAAAGGACACTTTCTCAAAATTTCGAAGTCGGAAAGCATCAGTGTCGGCGCCGGCGTGCCACCAGCGGAGGTGGGGGATCATAATGGATGGTCTGGGGAAACGGGATCCTGGACTTGACGTCGAAAAATTTCGTACCGAACACTACTTTTACAGTTTCAGGGTGAAATTTCCTGGCATGGATTGTCTAGAAATTTGTATCTTCATATCATCGGGAAATCTATGTTGCTGGTGCATCACTGTCCGAGTGGGGCTAGGTGAGGGACTGGTGGTGAGGTTTCGTCCCCAGTGGCGTAACGATGGTGTCGGGGCCCCTCTGTATTTCTAAAACTTTGGGCCCTTTTTGGGCCCCGGTCACCAATTCCATCGTGGGATTTTAGATTGTTATTCTAAATGTTTTAACGACGAACAAATGATATAATATGGATCCAGAAAATTGAGGCCAAGGACTTTCACAGTTGAGTCTATACCAATGTTCCGCAAACTATGGTCCGCGGCCCAAATTTGGACCGCCAAAACATTTTTAGAGGGCTGCGACGCCGTCTGGAAATTGAAAAAAAAAAAGATAACAAAGAGACGTTTCATCATGGAGAAAATAGCTTTTAATAAAACCGCTTCATTGTTACAGCGAATACGTCGCTTGCACACGCTGCTAAAGTGCCAGACGATGCGTGCTATTTGAGTAATCTGTTTTTGTGTCTATGCCCCCTCGGGAGCTAGACACTACGGTATGTTATCGTCCTAGTAGTATTAACCCTGTAAGATCGAGTAAATCCGGTATGGAGGAATGATGGGATGAGTCATGAGATAAAAATAAATATAAGACCTGTCCTAGAAAGATCACTACAGTATACAACACCACATATTTCTTGATAACCGAATGCCCATGTGGACACTCTATTACTAAACATAGGCCTTAATACCCACCTGTATATTAAGGTAATCTTTCAAAGTTGCGGAGTAACAGAGTGTGTGTGGCTGAACCGTGTTTGGTTGAATCATGGTAGAAAAAAAAACAATCAACAATTG